GTTATTAAGTTCTATAATAAAAATTTATTAAAATTTTATTAAGTTGTTAACTTTATTATAAAAAAATTATTAAGTAAACTTCACATTAAAAAAATTGTGAGAAATATTTTATTTTTAAAAAAGTGAATAAAAATATTTATAGATTATGAATTGTATTAGAACAACTAAAAATTACAAAACGTCAACTTTACCCTTTATTGAATATAATTTTAAAGTACATAAATATTAAAATACTTTTACAAAATCTTTAGCGAACATTTCCCAAGAGAATAAACTAAACATCCCGTAGATTTAACTGGTGATGGCATATTTGGTTAATGTGAAAATATTGTACAAATAGTTAAGGGAACACTTTCCTCACAACCAGACATGCCCTAAAGCGCAATTTTCTTCGTTGGAACACTCTCTAACAATGAGAAGTGAGATTGTATTGTTGAAACAGGCTGCAGAAGTTCCATAGTTGTTTCAACGCTGTCGCTGTGGCAGAGCTCCAGAATACACTCCACTCAGGGAAGGTCATTGCTGCAACTCCCCACATAGGCTTAGGGTAGCGGAAGAGTATATGTGCACATACAAAAGATTAAAACTAGTGAATATTCAGTCCTCCAATGTTTCTTCTGTTATAATTGCCGCAGAAGTTTATAACATATATGACAAGATTGGTAAACCTACTAACAAAGCAAGGCAGGTGATGGAGCCTGGCAACCTGCCATGATGCAGAAACAGGTTCGAACACATCACTGTAATTACAAAATTGAAAAGAATATGGTACATGTAACCAACCTACTAATCCAAAGGTTCCTGTCATTGAAATATTAAGTGAGATTAAAATTACATGGAGAGTAACCTGGCATTCCAATTCTGCATGTATTACATTATTCTGTTTAGTTGAATTCTTTCATTTGGTTGAGCAACCCTTTCTGCAGGAGAAATTGTTTGTGGCATCGTCATGCCTCCGGAAACAATGATCTCTGCATTATTGCCCCAAAAAAAGTATAGAATGAGAAATTGGGAATAACCATATTCACCAATGCATATTTTTTGAAAGGCAAAGGGGAAAAGAAAATGAGTCAACACAAGTAACATCTAGAAAGTATGTCCTGGCAGCCCACAAGGGAAAAAATGCAGAGGGCATAGAAATATTTTAGGAAAATACAGTTCAGATGACAAGAAAATTCATTTTTAAGATGCAAATGGAAGTGTTCATTGTACTTGTCAAAGAAATAGCCACAATGATGAGATGAGAAATTGCTGTGGATAAGATATCATACCAATGCCTTCCCGAATGGAGAGATTTGGTCTTATAATATCTTTGGCATTAACCAGGAGGATGTCACCAATGTATAGATGGTTTGTTGGGACAAAAACACTGCATAACTCCTCATCTTCATTTTCTCTCTGCCAAAAACCCATTACAAGCAGAACCAACAATGAGATAATAGGGAAGAAAATGCAACAAAATCAAAAAGAATGTGATCTTTTTATACGAGTGGCCATTTACAACACATGGTATCACATATAAAATGTAGAAGCAACAGATGTCCACAAAACCAACCTAAATGAATTTGTTTTAAGTTCACAGGAGTTGACCATTTTGCAACTTATACAGAACATCATTATCTTTGAATGTTTGATATGTCCCAAATTGAACCAAAGGAACTTGCACTCTACTAAGGGTAATTCAAGCATAATTCTTTTACTTATTTTGTAAAACAGAAGATCTGAAATCAAAAGACACCTGAAGGGTGACGGTGGATGTGATAAAGCCAAATGCATATTCACCAACACGTGGATGACGGATGATGGCTACCTCTTTAAATGCTGTAGTATTTTGATCTACAGAGAAGAAAAAGGCCTTGTGTCAATTTAAAATTAAAGCAAAGCTATCTAGGTGTAAAGAGTAGAAGGACTTGATACAATATTGTTATTCCAAATTATTTTTTGAAAAAAAAAAAGACTCCTGAAATATAAATCAACAAGCAAGCAGTATGGTTATAATTACAAGAAACACAAGACATTTACATGTTCTGACCATGTAAGATTTAATGCCAGTAAATTTATTATAAATTCTACATTAAAATATATCCAGAAAACAATTCATGAGTTAGTAAATCAACACTGTTCACATTACAGCAAATGGCAGAGTATCGAATGAATCCATGGATAATTGGGCAGGCATTGTACATTTATATATGAAGGCTAGCGGCACATATGTAGAAAGCCTATAACATCTATACAAATTTTGATTGCATAATACGATTTGACACTTAAACAATTAAAAAACAAAATCAGAGTAGTACTACACTAATTTTTGAAATGGCAACGGTGTAATTGCTTCCTTTCTTGAACAAAATGTATCTACAAAAATATGTAGTGAATCAGGCTTAACCTGGAGATATTGCAGCACTAATTTGTTTGGAGGCTGAGTATAAATGCCTAACGAGGGGCATTCTCTTTATAATCCATTCTCCAACCGAGAACACAGCCGCACCCAACCATGAGGAAACAAAAACGCCAACAAAGAATACAAAGAGAAGAGATGTGATGAATCCAAGACCTGGATCAAGTAATCACTGCTCAGAACACCATTTCTCAAAGCATAAAACCAGAAAAATAAATTTGCACATAAAGCACGCAACATAAAACAATAACAGGAGAGTTAGAATGGACTGAATCAAAGCCTTACAAATTACAAGTTGAAGATTAAGTGTTGGCAATACAATTAACACTTACCAAATATGTCGATGCCGAGTTGTTCATATAAGGGACTGAAGAACCCATCAACAAACTGAATAAACCACCAAGTAACAAAGAATGTGACTGCAACAGGGAAAAGTACCACACTACAATTTTGTAATGTGGTCAAAACAATGTTAGAATTGCAGATGTTCAAGTTGACCTGTAAAAAAAAATTACAATAATACTAATGAAATTAAAATGAAAAGTATTTATTAAGAGTATTCAAATAATTTCGCAGCATTGCATGTGGATCTGAAAAACACTTTATGAAAACTCCAAAGAGAGAAAAAAAAT